GGAATCCCCTTCCTCCTACTCTCTTCCCTGATAACTACAATCTTCAAACATTTAAATGTAACGTCAATCGTCACATTTGATGAATTAATCCGCGTTCTTCATTTTATTATTTCCTCAATCCCCACTATACCAAGCCTTATCTCTTAATATCACGTTCTGTAACCCCTAGGATACTGCAGGTACTCCCGCCTTGCGTGGAGTGAAATACTTTACAACGAATAATTAAATAAAACACCCTGATTTAAAGGTGATTTCTCAGATTAAAAAGCGAACAAAAGGTTCCTGACAAAAGGAACATTTTCATTAACTGTATCCCTCGATATTTCGGCTATGATGTCTACTCTAATATAAAATATATATATACACACCCACATATATATGTATATGACATTTTTTATGTTTATACGTTCTTTTTATAGATACAAATATATAAGTAAATGTTCTGTTTATAATAAACAGTATTAAACAACATTTATCTGAATGTCCGAGAAATTCTCACAGAAAATATTCGTCCTCCGACAGGATTCGAACCTGTATCCTATACGGAACCGTCATTTAGCGTGACGTGCCTTTACTGATTTGGGCCACAGAGGCGCGGTCGGTTTGCAAGGTTCCGTATAGGATACAGGTTCGATTCCTGTCGGAGGACATATATTTTCTATGAAGATTTCTCGGACATTCAGGCCGGTACATGTTGTTAATACTGTTTATTATAAGCAGATCATTTACTTAAATATTTGTATCTATAAAAAGATCGTATAAACATAAAAAATGTCATATATATATATATATATATATATATAATTAAACCCGAAATTTTTCAAACCCCTGCGCGGATCCTACTTTCTAAGAAATGCTTTCTTCTGACATTAACTGACCTAACATAAGAGGAATGAAATAATCGATATACCATGTCCCTGGAAATAAATTATTGATGTATTGCCTACAATTTGTTCAGAAAATGTACATTATATATTATTCCTATGCGCATCTTAAAGAAAGGAAGTTGAAATACAGGAAGTTATTTTAATTTTTCTTCCTTACATGAAAGAGTTCTTAACTCCCCTTACAAGAAATATAAGCTAATTTAACACGTGAGAGCAGTATCGGGTGCTTTGTAACAGCGGCATAATTTTCTTTATTTCTGTTTCGAAGAAAATCATTCGTCCTGGTTATCATAAACTGTTGGGGATCTCACTTTAAAGTCCGTGAAAACCCACAATGAGGGAAAGCATATGATGCTTAGGGGACAAAGAATAAAGGCAAGGTTTCACCTTGTGTAGCAAGAAAAGTCCTCAAAAATATCAAGAACAGTCCGACAAGTATCACCAACGATATTGATTGACTTGCATGTGATTTGTTTCGTTTGGTTTGGTCTGTGTCAAGGCATATCAACTCCTTGTAGGTCATTTAATGCCGAAATTTTATTTTATTTTGCAAAATATACATTGCTGGAAGAATATTTTTATTACAGAAATATACTGCTTCTAATCTTTATAACTATGAAAATGTATTGCTGGTATTTTGACTATAAAATGTTCTACTTTCCAGATATTTTGAGCCCAGTCTGGGAACAACAGCAATAAAGAGGTGCTTCCAAGCTCTTGAAAACCTCCCGATGAAAGGACTTAATGCCGGATGTAGTTTATCGTCATACACATGACGAATGAGATCTGTATCAAAATATCTTGGCAGACACCTCAGTGAAATTTGTATAAGTCATAGACGCAAAAAAAAATTATCACGAAGAAAAGAATCCAATATTTTGGTAATCGATTGAATAACACCACATTTCGCATTCACTCTTTATGCATTCAATCAAGTGTGTTGCATCTGTGATTTTCATTGACTACACCTTCTCCTTTAGCGTACCCCAGAAAAAGAAGTCAATTCATTCTTCACTCTTTATGCGTTCAATCAAGTGTGTTGCATCTGTGATTGAGTACACCTTCTCCTTTAGCGTACCCAAGAAAAAGGTGTCAATATTTTCTTCTTCCGGCAAAACCATGTTAAATCTGTGGAGGCCAAACAAAATATAGTTAATGAGATTTCCCAAATGTCCAGACTTTAGTCTATCTTGTATAATTAATTCAAGAGAAATGCATTATTTCCTGATTAAATTATAATTATTATCTTATTGTGTTTTTATTAAATAAACTTTAAAAAAATCAGACGAGAAGGGGAAACATGTTTCTCCTTACAAGAAATTACATTAATCATAAAAAATCTTCTTTTTTTTTTTTATTATTATTATTATTATTGAATTTATGCCTTGTCTATGTGGAACTCACAATCAATATTTCATCAAATCGATACACCAACGGTTATAGCCCAGAGATACCTGTCCCGAGCTGTGGTAAATTTCTTTCTATTAAAAATGTCTTTTTTAAAATATGTTTTTCATCGATTGAAACATGACAATCTTAGCAAGGACCATCCTTCTTCGAAGCACGTGAACTGCGCTACGGGTTCAGAGACAAAGGACTGTACGAAATAATAAAAAACACATCACTTCTATTCTTTTTTTTAATATGTATTTTTATCGAATAAAACGTGACAATCTTTCTATGGCCCACTTATCTTCGAACCTTGTAAACTGGGGTCATAGAGAAAGAACTGTACCAAATATCAAGCGCCACTTCATTTAATTTCTTTTTTTAAATATATTTTTGATCGGATGAATCACGATTATCTTAACAAGGACCAACCTTCTTCGAACCTTGTGAACCCCACTACAATGTCATAGACATGTACTGTACCAAACCACATCACTTTTCATTGTTTTAAATAGGTTTGTGTTCGTATGAAACATGACAATCTTAGCAAGGACCATACTACTTTGAAACTTGTAAACGGCGTTACAGTGTCATGGACAAAGAACTGTATCAAATAACAAAAAACTCATCACTTCTTTTCTTTATTTTAAATATATTTTTGCTCGAATGAAACATGACAATCTTAGCAAGGACCATCCATCTTCGAACCTTGTGAACTGCGCTACATCGACATAGACTAAGAATTGTACAAAATAACAAAAATCCTATCACTTCTTTTCTTTATTTAAATATATATTTGATCGGATGAAACATGACAATCTCAGCGAGCACCGTCCTTCTTCGAACCTTATGAATTACGCTACAGAATCATAGACAAAGAATTAAACAAATAACAAAATACACAGCACTTTTGTTCATTTATTTAAAATATAGTTTTGAGCGAATAAAGCATGACAATCTTAGCAGGGACCAACCTTCCCCGAACATTGTGAACGACGCTACAGGGTCATAGTCCAAGAACCGTACCAAATAGCAAAAAACACATCACTTGAGGTCTTTGAAGAATAGTAAAAACAAAAATGGCTAGCAAATATAACAACCCAAATTGAAAATAGTGACATAATCAAGACTTTTCTGTTCCACATTACTTCAAAAAAGTAGTTAGAAAGAAAAGCCCTATCGGTAATGGCGTGGATGTGTGATACCTGTTTTCCTGAAAAATTCTTTTAAAAGAAAGATTTATAAATTTCATTGGAATGTATCAGCAGCTGCCAGATCAATGAATGTTGAATGTTGCCGCATAAGTGGGCGGTTAATATTACCCAACAGACGAATTTATTATAAATGTTTAATGAAACAAAGAGTTTTATCATAAAACTGAGTCAGGGGTCAGCAACCATTTGCTATGTACCGATTTGAAATCATTCAATTTGCCAACTGCTTACGTATGTTTTAGGGGTTTTTTTTGTCACGATAAATATACCTGTTCTACAATATATTTTATATAGTAATATATATTTAGTATATATTAAAATTTAAACAGCTAAATATCTTCTTTGCGTTGTAGTAGTTATTAGTTCGGACATCGTGATGTCATTTGCGGCTGCGTGCCATTGGAAATTGCTTGGCATGCCACATGTGGCACGGGTGCCGTAGGTTGCGAACCGCTGCCATAACTGTAGCAAACTAGGAGCCTTAAACTTAACCTGGCTGCTGATTAGGTTGAAATTGCTGCTGCTTTTCAATCCCTGTGTCAGTCTATGTGCCCTTGTGTAAATGGACAAGCAATAACTGAACAGTACTGAATAAAATAAGAACTAATAATTATAATTCTTCATCCCAGAAATTGAGACAAAATATTTTGCTGCTAATTTTACTACAAAAACGTATTAGTGATATTTTTAGTAAACAATGTATTGCTGGTATTTTTACTATAAAGATATTTTTATGCTTTCTTTTTTTTTTTTCATTCTTGTTAAGGGATTCCCTATTTGCTCATATTTAGGACCCTAACAGGTGCTACTACCTCGAATCAAGGTGGACCTGGTGATAATAGCAATTAAGATGTGGTCTCACTCTCCTTCAAATCTTTAAACTTATGATCGGAGCCATTGCTGCCGGATGTAGTATATCCTCATACCCAGGATGACTACAAAATGGAGATGTCAACACCAAACATCTACAGAACTTTGAATATTTGTGAAGTGAATTGGAATACACCACTAAAAAGTAAATCCATTGGAATAAGTGGTCTTCCAAAAGCCAAAGAAAACATTATGAAACTAGAAAAGTTTGTTAGAAACAAAGAAAAGCCTGCTGAAATGTTCTGTAATCTGAATCGTCATAAATGCCAGTGAATGCTGGACAGATCTCTTACTGATGAACGGAAAACTGGCGGCAACAGAAATGTGGTTCTACAGAAGGATGCTGGGCATTCTATGAACGGATCGCGTAAGGAATAAAGTTTTAAGGAAAATGGGAACGAAAAGGACACGCAGAATGAGAAACTCATAATTGAAAGCTTTTGGGATATATAATGAGGAGAGGGTGCTTGTAAAATATTATATTCACATGACATAATGAAAGCAAACAGAACGGAGGAAAGTAACCGGTCACGAAGTTTCTCTGGATGAATAGCAGAACGATAAGAGGATGGCAAAGAGGACAAATGTTACTAAGTGCTACAAGGGATGAGACGTTGCTCAGGTCCTATAGGAAAACGGCTCATAGAAGAAGAAGATGAATAACGAGGTGATGAAGAACAAGATGATGAAGTATAAGATAAAGAAGAAGAAGAAGATGATGAAGTAGACGAAGGCGATGAAGAAGATGAAAGTAAAGACGATGAAAGTGAAGAAGATAGAGAAGAAGATGAAGATGTAAAAGAAGAAGAAGATGAAGGTGTAGAAGAAGAAATAGAAGATGAAGAAGAAGATGAAGAAGACGGTGAAGAAGAAAATGAATAAAAAGACGAAGATGAAGAAGATGGTGAGGACGAAGAAGAATATGCAGAAGCAGATGAAGAAGAAAATGAAGAGTATGAATAAGAAGATGAAGAAGATGAAGATGAAGGAGAAGAAGAAAATGAAGAAGAAGAAGATTAAGAATAAGATGATGATGATGATTAAGAAGAAGTGTATAGTCTTAAAGTATTTCTGCTCTTACTTTTACGTATACATATTGTTAGTTCTATAATGAAGAATATAAAAATGATGAAGATGATGATGATGAAGAAGAAGAAGATGAAAAAGACGATGAAGATGAAGAAGAAAATGAAGAACATGAAGAAGAAGATGAAGATGAAGAAGATGAAGAAGAAGACGAAAATGAAGAAGATAAAAATAATGAAGAAGATGAAGAAGATGAAATGAAATGAAGATGAAGAAGATGAAAATGTAGAAGATGATGAAGAAGAAAATGATGAAGGAGATAATGAAGAAGAAGATGATGAAAATGATGAAGAAGAAGATGAAGAAGAAGAAGAAGCAGAGAAAGAAAATGAAGATGATGAAGAAAAAAGATGAAGAAGAAAATGAAGAAGAAGAAAATAAAAATGATGAAGAAGATGATGATGATGAAGATGATGATGATGAAGAAGAAGTGTATAGTCTTAAAAATATTTCTGCTCTTACTTTTACGTATACATATAGTTCGTTCTATAATGGCACCACATCAAAAAAACATGAATATTTGAAGGAACCCGTAATGTCTTTGTACATTCAGAAGAGCCACAAAAGAGGATAGAAGACTAATGCTGAGCTTATAAGTCCTTCCTGAATTGTGTAAAATCACCAAAAACTAAAAATGCCGGATGTTTACATAACCGAACAAGCGGGTGATACTTCCTGTCACTAAGGTTTATGCGTTTTATCAGGAAAGTGGTTGACAGTGACCCGCAAATTCCGCTAAGATTGTTGTTTATGACGTGAAAAATATATCGGCAGTGAATGTTTCTGCAATAATCCTGGCTTGTATAAGCGACGAACATATAGCAAACCGTTAGAGAAATCAATTAAAAAAAGAGATTCGTTTAAAATTTCTAAATGTATACAAAGATTCAAGGATTTGACAGAAGAATATGTTGGCCGGATAAAATAAAAAAAAAATATTCGAATTTGGTTAGATCCGAAGAGTTTATCATCGTCATGACGAAAGTTAAAGCGGGAAACGTGTTGAGTATCGGGAATTAGGGATATTCTTGGAAAAACTGATGATTTAGTGTTGCATATGATCTAAAGTAACGAGTAATACTGTATTTCATCGATCGAATGTAAATGCTTAAAGTTACATGAATATATTCCCTTCAATCAAACACTTGGCAGCAAGAAATGATGTCTCTCAACCTGGCAGTGATCCAACACACACCAATAAAAAAAAAATCAAAGTCTATCTGAAGAATCAAAAGGTGCACGACTTAATTTTCATGACGAAAGGTTTAAATAAAGTTGTAGATTTATTAAATATATTGAAACGAAAAATAGAAAGACATATTCACTGAAAGAGTAGAAAACATTACAAGGGCGTTAATTAAAAGTTTTCATTTTCGTTTTTGTTAACACATATAAACAATAGTTCAATACAAAAGGTTTACCATAATTTAATTCAATATAAAAAGAATACCATAAGTTCATTCAATATCAAACGATTACCATGTTAATTCAATATCAAAGTGATGCGATAAATTAATTCAATATCAAAGGATTACCATGTTAATTCAATATCAAAGGATTACCATAATTCAATATCAAAGGTTTACCAAAAGTTAATTCAGTATCAAAGGATTACAATAAGTTAATTCAATATCAAATGATTACCATAATTCACTATCAAAGGATTACCATCAGTTAATGCAATATCATAGTATTGCCATAAGTTAATTCAATATCAAAGAATTGCCATAATTTAATTCAATATCAAAGCATTACCATAATTCAATATCAAAGCATTACCATAATTCAATATCAAAGGTTTAGCAAAAGTTAATTCAATATCAAAGGATTACCATAATTAAATATCAAAGGATTGCCATAAGTTAATTCAATATCAAAGTATAGCCATAAATTAATTCAATATCAGGGATTAACATAAATTAATTCAATATCAAAGGATTGCCATAAGTTAATTCAATATCAAAGGATTACCATAATTCAATATCAAAGTATTGCCATACGTTAACTCAATACCATAAGTTAATTCAATAGCAAAGGATTACCATAAGTTAATTCAATATCAGATCATTACTATAATTCAGTATCAAAAGTTTAGCAAAAGTTAATTCAACATCAAAGAATTACAATATGTTAATTCAATATCAAAGGATTACCATAATTAAATATCAAAGGATTACCATCAGTTCATTCAATATCGAAGTATTGCCATAAGTTAATTCAATATCAAAGAATTAACATAAGTTAATTCAATATCAAAGAATTACCATAATTAAATATCAAAGGGTTACCATAAGTTAATTCAATATCGAAGTATTACCATAAATTAATTCAATATCAAGGATTACCATAAGTTAATTACTTGCTTCCAATGAAGAAATCTAAGGAAGACGCCATTACGCCAAGCAAAAAATGTAAAAGAAATGTCTAGATTTTGCAAGATGGTAATCCCATCAGCTCAAAGTCCTAATAAGGAAATAATTTGAAGGGAGTAGAAAGGAAACTCAACGTGTCACCTCGCATGGCAAGAAAAGTCTTCGGAGAGGCAGAAATAAACATAAAATTACGACCAACATCAAGGACATTGATTAATTTAGATTACAAGTGTATCAAAATATAATGGCAGACCCTCTAGAAAAAACTTGTAGAAACCTACAAAACAAACCAGGGAGGACTCAAAATTTTCCATACCATGGACGAAAAGACATTTTCTAAATGTTGTATCGTGACAAGTATTCAAGCTTTTGGTCACCAATTCTTTATTCCGTTGAAATAAAAACTGAATATTTTGGACCCACGAATGCTGCTTTCGTATTGCACAAACGGGTTGAAGATTTCAACCCAAAAAGTTTGTTTTTTTCCGTCTAGATTTCTGTGATTAGGAGCTCTAATTTTTTATATTATTAAATTCCGACGATTTTTTAAAATTTTTTATTATTAATAATCACCTTGTGGGTTATAACGTGGTTTCGTGAATTGGTAGCATATTAACTGTGAGTTTAGACTGAGTGGTACGACAGATATTTAAGCAGCGGAAACAGGGCCAGCAATAACTGAGTATTATAGAAAGTGACAAGATATCCGCAGACATGTTCTGTGGAACAAGAACAAAACCACCCCCTTTGATTTAATAAGGCGTTCAGATAAAAATTCCATGATGATCACACAAATCTACAGTTGTCTGAATAAGTCTGGAGGGTTCAATGGCCGAAAAGTTATGATACCAATAATAAAGGCAAGAACATCAGTTTCAAAATAAATATTGTAAATTTATAGTCGCTTATTAAAAATAAAGACAAAAATTGCAGTGGCTGAAAATCCTGCTCAAATTAGAGTCCAAGAATGTTATAGAAACCTTGGGGAAGTCCAGTAAGATATCTTTAATAATTTCTAAGATAAAACGTTTCAGAGCTTAATCTAACACTTGGACAATTTCGGTGTTACACGATTTGGAGAATTTTACTGTTACACCCGGTATATTCCAAGAATATATTTCCTCAGAATTCTTGCTTTTTCACGGAAAACAAAAAATAATGATTCCATAGAAATCATGCCCGCCTGCAACTTGGAGGCATATATTACTTTTAAAAAGGGGAAAGTTGGAATAAGTCGGAAGACCGTATCACCCTAGTTCCAAATTATGAACGTAATCTAGGTTTTAATTAAGATTATCTTAATAAAGCAACAATTTAATTAGGGATGGGAAGAAGAAAGTAGAAAGATCAGGCTGCGCCAAAACCTTCACTGGTGAGTTTAATTTCGGTATTAAATAAGTTTAGATTACACTTATGCTATAATAACTGGAGAGACAGTAAGAGTAACCTAATAACTAATAATGAAATAAGATATAATTAAATAAGATATAATTAAGTGGGACTAACCTAATAACTGGAGAGAGAGTGTGAGATTAACCTAGTAAGAATGAAAACAACCTCACAAGCTACTGCACTACGGTAACCACCGCATTCTGTGTGTATGTCTGCTGGACTTGCTTACAAGTTGGTATAAATTTGTTCTGGGAAATCAATGTGAATTCTCTCGTGATTTTATTAGTGAAAAAAAAACGTTGTCTTGTCTTAATCAGCTTAAAGCGATGTTAATTTGTTTATTACGCTTTAAGTGATTCTTTACGATTTTTCTCTTCCCCTCTCTACACGGCTAACACTCATCAAAATAATTCTTTGTCGTTCTTCATCCATTTTTGTGTTTTCTTTATTCCATTTTTTTGTTTGTTTAGTTTTTTTTTTTTGCTTCTCTTTGCCTTCGTTCGTTTCTCCAAAACTACAACAAGTGAAATCATCAAAGATAAATTGAAAGATGTTGTCGGAAGAGAGAAGGAGAAATAAGTTCCAAGTGAAGTCATGTATCAAGCTTAAAGTCATCACGACAGCCACAATTCCTTAGGTTATCAACTTCTGACGAATAACTGAATAACAATTTACAAGTGCCGACGTGTTCGTGATTTCGCCTGTAGGTCTTGAATACCGACATGAAAAAGATAGCGTGGCTCTCGAAAGCCTGAGGGGTTGCAGCTACTCTTAATGAGAAGGCTGTACCAACTCTTCAATGATAAAAATACAAATGAACATATGAAACGTTATAAAATCCTAAGATCTAACATTATGACCCTGTGCCTAATAAGGCGGTCGTCATCCATTTATCTTTTTTAACATTTTTTAAATAATTTTACCCCGAGCAAAAGGCAATAAAATGAAATAGGATGCAAGGAGTTAATGAAAAAGACAGAGAGGGGGAACAGACAATAAAATAATAAAATTCAAAGAGACCGAAAATGAAAAACTTACATTTAAATGTTTAAACATCGGAGTTGACAGGAGACTGAAGAGGACAACAATGCAATTAAATGTTTACATATCGTAGCAGAAGACCGAAAATGACAATGTTGGGCACGGATATGAAACGGGAAATTCATTTATAAAGTGAATAAAAATATAGCATAAATATATGAAAGTCCAAATAAAACATAAAAGTCTTCGTATAAAAACACTTACGTTTTTTTTTTTATATTTGAAATTCTTAATACAAAGTTAACATGTATTTCCTTTCAAAAGATTATGTACATAAAAACAATACGAATTGTTGTTCTAATAGGTTTGGTTTGTCACGATCGTAAATCACATTCGTCCAGATACTTTGACTTCCTAAAGCTAAATAGGCTGTTTGACTTTCCCGCCTAACAATGTCTCGTCCGGGTTTGCTCAGGTCACGTGATTGTTTTAAATTCTCGGGAATATTTGTAATTATTTTTATTGCTAATTTTTTTATTATGTTAAGGAGCAATTAATTTTTTCTATCTCTATAAACCTTCCCACCTATTAGCGTGGTCCAGTAGTAGTGATATTAGTTGCCTCTTTTCCAGTAAAATGTTCTACCTTCTTTCGTATAACTGTTCTTACTATTTGTCTTATCTTTTGTACCCATTATTATATCATCATTATGAGGTTGCTTTTCAGTTATTACTTGCTTATCTTTGGTTCAATGTGTGGTTTTAATCTATTTATTGATACCATTAACTGTATCTTATTGTTCAT